ATTACCCTGGCGACGTACCCAACCCCTGCTCAAACGCGGGGCGCAAATAGTTTAGGATAGTTTATGAAGGGGGGCGATGACGGAGCGAGGGTTACATATGTCTGCAGACGGAATTCGGGAGACTCGCAGGACACTGGCTACAGGACAAGGACTAGATAAAGCTGATTAGTTACAATCCCTGAGCAACCCTAGCCACTTCGAAAGCGGGGATCTCATATCGCAGCCCCCCAGGGATGGCGAGGTCTAATTTGGGTCCGCGCGTGGCGTCACTGTGCTGGGCCCTCCAGCAGGCCTCGAAAGTGGCGACAGTTTCACAGATCGCAGCCCCCCAGGGATGGCGAGGTCTAATTTGGGTCCGCGCGTGGCGTCACTGTGCTGGGCCCCTCAGCAGGCCTCGAAAGTGGCGACAGTTTCACAGATCGCAGCCCCCCAGGGATGGCGAGGTCTAATTTGGGTCCGCCCGTGGCGTCACTGTGCTGGGCCCCCCAGCAGGCCTCGAAATCGGCGACAGTTTCACAAATCGCAGCCCCCCAGGGATGGCGAGGTCTAATTTGGGTCCGCCCGTGGCGTCACTGTGCTGGCCCCCCCAGCAGGCCTCGAACGTGGCGACAGTTTCACAGATCGCAGCCCCCCAGGGATGGCGAGGTCTAATTTGGCTCCGCGCGTGGCGTCACTGTGCTGGGCCCCCCAGCAGGCCTCGAAAGTGGCGACAGTTTCACAGATCGCAGCCCCCCAGGGATGGCGAGGTCGAATTTGAATCTGCCCGTGGCGTCACTGTGCTGGGCCCCCGAGCAGGCCTCGAAAGTGGCGGACGTTTCACAGATCGCAGCCCCCCAAGGGATGGCGAGGTCTAATTTGAATCTGCCCGTGGCGTCACTGCCAGACTGTGCTGAGCCCCCCAGCAGGCCTCGAACGTGGCGACAGTTTCACAGATCGCAGCCCCCCCAGGGATGGCGAGGTCTAATTTGAATCTGCCCGTGGCGTCACTGTGCTGGGCCCCCCAGCAGGCCTCGAAAGTGGCGACAGTTTCACAGATCGCAGCCCCCCGCAGGCAAGACAGGAGGAGGCAAGAGGGAGGCGGGACGGGAAGAAAGGAATGGAGATCACACTGCTCTACTCAAAACGAATACCCAACCAAGGAGGGTTGGGAAAAAAACAAGCATCATCCAAACATGATCAAACATAGTAGAAAACCTCGTCCCTGAATTATGTTCTGACTATTTGGGAACCAAGGACCGCGCGCGCGGTTCGCGCGCGCTTGGATTCTAGCGCAGACCAGGCGTTGTTAGTTGTGCGTGCTTTTCGGACCAGTTCATTCCATGCCTTGCCTTATCGCGTCCTCAAACCCGCCGATCCTGTCGGCGTGTGAAAGACGCTCTTCCGTTCGCCGTCGTCATCGCTGTCGCCGTCGCCGCTTCCTCCTCAAACGCGCCAGCCAAAGCGTAATTGGGTCGAAAGGAAGCCCCTTCCCCGCGGGGGGGGAGTCCCAGGGGGGGTGTCGAGGGGGGTGTCGAGGGGGGGGGGGGTCGAGGGGGGTCCCAGGTCAGAATGCCATCCCTCCCAAACGAGACGGGCCAAGAGTGCCCCAAGAGGCCTCCAAGACGGTCCAAGAAGGCCCCGAATCGCCGAATTATCGGTCCAAGACGCCAAAGATGGCCTCCAGGCGGCCCAAAAAGCCTGCAAGACGCCTCAAGATGCCTCCAAGAGCACTCCCAAGAGGGCCCCAAGAGGTAAACATCAATGAAGTCTGTTCGGAGAGGTTTGGGATGTTCTCTCACTCTCGGCTTCCCGACGCTCCAAGAGGCCTCCCAGGTGGCCTAAGAAGCCTCCAAGAGGGCCCCGAAACGACCGAAGAGGGCCCCTAGAGGCCCCAAGAGGCTTCCAAGACGGCCCAAGAGGCCCTCAAGACGGCTCCCAGAGCGTGCCCAGACAGGGGACTCGAACGGAGATTTGGAACCCTCGGCCTGAAAGCTTCCCAGGAGGCCCCAAGAGGCCCCCAAGAGGGCCCCAAGAGGCCTCAAGCCCCTAGAGGCCCCCAGGAAGACCCAAGAGACCCCGAGGAGGCTTCGAAGAGGCCCCCAAGAGGTCCCCAGGAAGACCCAAGAGACCCCGAGGAGGCTCCCAAGAGGCCCCGAAGAGGTTCCCAAGAAGCCCCCGAGAGGCTGTTTCTCCGCCCCCCCCCTCCTCCTCCTCCTCGTCCACCTGTTCCATCTCCCTGTCCTCCTCGCATGCACGGTCGGCGGCGGCATCGGCCGTGAGGCCTTCACAATATTTCTGATATGCCCTCCTCGCCAATCTTCCAATCTCTCTCGGTTGTGCTGTTGTTTCGTTTCTTGCTCTTATCGACGGCCTCCTCCTGCTGGGGATTCTGCGGGACCTTTGAGCGGTTCAAGGCCGGCGTGGGGGAGATACTGATTAAGTGGGCTGGCTTCGAGTGTAAGGGTCTCTTGGGGATATTCTTGTCAGGGCTGCCTTGAAAGCTTTGGGGTCCGCTAGGGCCCGCCGGTAGCCGTCGTGGGCTCTTCTTCGGGCGCTCTGGGGCAGCTTTTGGAACGTCTTGGGCCACCCTGGACCGTCTTGGCGGCCAGCGGGCGCCCTCCTGAACCAGCTCGGAAACTTCTTGAGGCCGAAAGAGGCACCCAAAGGCCCCAAGGCAGGTCCTGGAGCCGGTGGGAGGGGGCCAAGTCAGTGGTGATGGGCGGGGGTTTGGGCAAACTGGGCCACCCCAGGCCAGAGACCTAGTCGTCGGTGCACAGAGCAAGGTGGAGGAAAAGCACACTGGTTGGTGCGTGGATGGACGAACTGAACACGCGGCGGGGGCTACGTCGCACTTGCAGAGAGAGGCGAGTTGATCATTGGTTGCGCAATCTAGGAGTAAGGCGGGAGGGAGTGGAAGGAGCGGGGCAGGAGGAGCAAAAGGCGTTGGACGATCCACTGAAACCCCGTGAACCACGGCGGGGCAAAATCGAGAGGGTGACGCCACCCCCCCGTCGTTGTCCTCCTCCTCCTCCCTTTCCGTGTCCTCCCCCTCCTATTCCTGCTCCTCCTGTTCATCGTCCTCCTCCTAGTCCCCCCCTGTGAGAAACCAGAACAGCCAACCTGATTCCACTCAGAATGGGGTGACTGAGAAAATTACTACAACGAAGACAAACAATTTGCAACGGGGCCAGCTCGAGACATCCGCAGTTCCCTTCTTCACCAGTCGCCTTCTCTCAGTACATTCAGCACCCCCCTTTCTCGACCTCTCCACCCTCTTCATGCTCCCCCTGTTTTCTTCGGAGGAGACGGCCAGTCGCGCTTCGACACGCCACACACACGCACAACGTACCAACCTAAGACCTCAGGTCCGAGAAGTGAACGTTGACGAGGTATCCTGATAGAGAGGCATCGCTTGGCGCATACTTGTGTGGTCTATCTCCCAAGGGTGCGTGCGCAAAACGTATCGAAACTACACGCTGCCCCGAGGGCGAGAAGAATAGACAGCAGGACTCGACGTGGAGATTCTTCGACAGAGACGCGTCAACCTGGCGCGCACTTGTCTGGTCGAGTGCCCCAGGGTGTGCACGCAAGGCGGAGACGCAGACGCCTCGCGCGCATTTGCATGGGCCGGAATGGGAAGGAACGGGAATGAGTTGGGAGGAGTGAGGAGAGCTGCGGAGAGGGGTCCCTCTGGGCTACCATTTGGGGACGTCGCGAAGACCTCTTGGGCTATCCAAACGGTCTCTGGGGCTGCTCTCATGGGCCATTTTTGTTTGTGCTGGGCGCGGCAAAGCACTCATTGGGCCGCTATGGGGCCTCTCGGAAGCGTCTCAGTGGCCTATTCGGGGCATCTTGGGGCCTCTTCAGGGCTTCTCAGGGTCTCTCGGGGGCTTCTTGAACGGTCTTGGGGCGTTCTGGGCCCGACAGACGTCTTCGCAGGCAGTCTTGGAGGCCTCCATGGGGCGTCTTCGGGCCGTCTTGGGGGCCTCATGGGCTCGTCTTTGGGGGCCTCTAGGGCCATCTTGGGGCCGTCTTGTGCCGTCTTGGGGCCCTCTTGTCCTCCTGGGCTGTCTCGGGGTGATTGTTTGCACAGATGGTGACATTGGCCCCCTCCCTATGCATTTATTTGAACATGGAGAATGCGCTATTACAGGCCTTCCTAGTGGATTGTCCATTCGATTACTATTCAATTCCTATTGAATGTCCACTTTGATTATTAGGAGGCCTTCCTTATTAATTTCAATCAAACCCCTTGAAAATTCTAAAGTGATTCCTATTGGATTATTAATATTCTTCCTAGTGACATTCCAATCGCAGAGCATTCGAGGCTACCCCCCCAGGTTACACGTGAACATCCAACAGACACGAAGAACATCAGGATACCCTCCCCAAACCGACCTCGATCTTATACCTCGGTCCGACCGTGTCGAATCGGATCGTATCGGACTGAAACTCACACTCTGACGGGCGGGCGGCCCCCTCGCTATAGGAGGGCTGGCGCACCGCCCGCCTGACGCGCCAGCACTGCTCCGGCGCGCACCCTGCGGGCTCCGGCGCTGAGCCTGGCGGGCGAGCGGCTTTCCCAACAGGGGAGGGGCGCGGTCGGCGTGAAGGAACGTGGTTCTCCTTGTCCTTTCTCATCGTCCTCGTCCTCCTCCTCCTCCCTCCTCCTCCTCCTCCTCCTCCTTCACCTCCTCGCTCACCTCCTCCTGCATCATTTTCCTCCCTGCTCCTGCCCCTGCTCCTCCTATTCCCTCTCCTCCTCCTCCTCCTCCTCCTCCTCCTCTTCCTCCTCTTCCTCCTCCTCCACCTCCTCCTCCTCCTCCCAGTCCTCCTCCTCCACCTCCTCCTGCATCATTTTCCTCCCTCCTCCTTCCCCTGCTCCTGCTCCTGCTCCTGCTCCTGCTCCTGCTCCTCCTCCTCCTCCTCCTCCTCCACATCCTCCTCCTCTCATCATAATCATCACCCACCGCCACCACCACCACCATCATAACAATGCTACCAGGAAACCCGCCAACCCT